TGGCAATAGAGGTCTTGTATTTTTCGCACTCTTTTTATGGACTGACTTTGGCTTGTTCTTATTCAGCTTTTGGTATATCCGTCCGTACCACTGAATTGACAATACCATCTTTTTCCACAGGCAAGGAGGATTTGTGCAAGGTGGGATCCAGCAGGGGAGTGGTCAACCCATGAGCCGCACTGTCCAAATGATGGCAGGTGGTGGCATGCAAGGACCGGGCAGCTTTGGTGACCAAGACCGAGTGCAGAGACTGTCCAACGATCCTCGTTTCCAGCATCGCTACTAGCTCTTATTTCTATTAACTGATTTTAATGTAAAGGAAATCTTTAATAGTGGTGCGTAGTGCTAATCACAGTACCATGTTCTTGTGTATTTTTGTTTACTGCCTCTGAAACCAGAATTGTTTTGGAATTAATGATCATTTCATGGTTACTTTATTGTTAAAGTACTTGTATTGAGCCTAGACTCTGAAAGAGTCAATTCAATTTTCCATAAATAAAAGCGAAAATATACTTTGGGTGTCTGAACTTAATTTTGGGATTAGGTGCACATTTGGAGAATCACCTTTTCTGATGGCTGTAACGTTTTCTAATGTGATTAATGTTAGCATTTGAGTTTGGTTTTGGTAGTGCATTATTAAAGGAATAACTTTTAATGCACTTTCTAGTCTTTTCCTTCTCTTACATCTGATCCTCAAGTAACAGTCTTAATTATGAAAATCATTTGGAGATCCAGAAACAGTATAGAAACATAGAAGATAGGAGCAGGAGGAGGCCATTTGGCCCTTCAAGCCTGCTCTGCCATCTATCACGATCATGGCTAATCATCTAACTCAATAGCCTAATCATGCTTTCTCCCCATAACCTTTTGATCCCATTTGCCCAAAGAGCTAAATCTAGCTAAATACATTCAATGTTTTGACATGCTTTGAGCAATAGATCTACATCAGATGTGTTTAATTGTCTCTTGCACCCTGTTTAATTCAATATTATTCCCTCAATATTCTTGCAATTTCACTGCTTTGGATAGCAGACATCAGTGCAGATCTACTTTTCTTCACCTATCTTCCTAATTTGCATTCTCTTGAAAGGAGTTGCTAATTCATTTTCATTCCCTTAAATTGCCCTCACTACATAAATGGTGTTGGAATCTTCACTGGTTTATATGACCTGGATAACGCACACTATGCTAGTTGAGGATCCAGCGAATTTCTTGTAAGATATCATGTGCAAATGTTTGATATCATCTTGTGATCAAAAGTAAATGACGACTCGTGGGCAGAAAATGGAAAAATAAATTCATGCAATGTGATGCAAAGCAAGAGTAGAAGGAATACGTAAATAGTAGTATTTTTAATGGAAAGGAGCAGAGATTCACAGATTCAAATGCACTAGATTCACAGAACCATGAAGTTAGCAAGGCAGGTAGATAGGGTGGTCAGAATCCTTGATTGGCTGAGTCAAAACTCATTAGATTGTAGCCAGAAAATTGTATAGTGCAAGTCATTGCATTATAGGAATGTATTCACACTAAAGGGGTTGAAATACTTTAACTGTAGTATATGGTTGCTTAGGCCAAGATTGGTTTTTTGGCCAGAGTGATTGACTTGTATGAAATTGAGATTCCTAGATATACTGGATAGAAAAGACCAATTTCTGTTAGATGAGACATCCGTAAACCAGATAAAAAGCTTTTGGTAGAGAGAATTTGAATATTTTCATGTCCTTACAGTATAGCTTTGGACATACAACTGAGGGCAGGCAAAGATTTAGGATGTAGCTAGCTATGATTTTACAGAGAAACAGTATTCTAAAATTTGTCAATGAAAACTCAATACTGCATGTAAGCACAGAGAAACGGTTAACAATATCTTTCATTAAAAGTGGGTAATGCTAAACTGTTCTTTAGGCAGGAATGGGCAGCTAGGGCAAGAAGGGTAACAAACATAAGGCCAGGTCTCCATAGGGTGGAAGGCAGAATTGATTAAATACTGAACTAAATCTTGTCAGAATAAACAAAATGCAGCTAGGATACATAAGAGGATGGGAGCTACAGGACACAAAGTGCATTTGAACATAGGAGTTGCAATCAAAAATTGGTGATTTCACCATCTTTCCCTTTAGCAATGTCACTGGACTCCTAATCTAGAAGCCCAGTCTAACATTCTGATGATAACAAGGTGTAGAGCTGGATGAACACAGCAGGCCAAGCAGCATCACAGGAGCAGGAAGGCTGACGTTTCGGGCCTAGACCCTTCATCATTTTTTCTGATGAAGGGTCTAGGCCCGAAACATCAGCCTTCCTGCTCCTGTGATGCTGCTTGGCCTGCTCTGTTCATCCAGCTCTACACCTTGTTGTATCAGATTTTCCAGCATCTGCAGTTCCTACTATCCCTAACATTCTGATGATACTGATTCAATTCTTAGCAAGCAGCTGTTGGAATTCAAATTAAGTTAATAAAATCTGTAATTAAAAATAGTTATAGAGCACAGAAACAGACCCATCACTCAACTCGTCCATGCTGACCAAGTTTTCCAAATTAAACTAGTCCCATTTGGCTCATATCCCTCTAAACGTTTCCTATTTTTGTAACTTCAGATGTCTTTTAAATGAAACTGTGTCTGCATCTACCAGTTCCTCCGGCAGTTCATTCCACATATGAATCACCCCCTGAAAAAGTTGCCCCTCAGATCCCTTTTAAATCTTTCTCCTTAAAATTATGCCCTCTAGTTTTGAACTCCCCTACACTAAAGAAAAGATCTTTGCAATTCACCGTATCTGTGCCCTTCATGATTATGACTCCAGAAGAACTTGACTATCTGCGGACTAACGTATAAACCGCAAAACAGTGTTGGTGTTATCACATGATACTTCCCCTGAGGATTGTAATCACTTATAGCAGTTCATAGTTTCTATTCACTTCAGCTCTCTGTATTGATATTTTAGTTCTCTTCCAGATGTTCAAGTATTACTCCTAAGTTTTCATTCACACTGAAAGACCTTGGTCTATTTCAGACTTATTAGTGCAAATTTGCTTAATGTAAGCCTGTTGTGGAATCTGTATCATTGTCTATATCATTCTGGTGTAGATTCAGACACCACTATTTTCTTTACTGGCTGGTATGACTCTAACCAGTGGAGAGCTCCGATTTCAACCTGCTGACAATAACTAAACCAGTGCAGGTGATGAGGTCAAATCAACTGAAATGTTAATATTTTTAAATTGATCCCTCCATCAGGTCAGAAGTGGGGGTATTTGCTGATGATTACATAATGTTTAGCACTATTCGTGGCTCCTCAGATATTGAAGCAGTCTCTGTCTAAATCCAGCAAGTCCTGGACAATATTCAGGTTTGGGTTGACGAGTAGCAAGTGAGATCCGTGCCACGCAATGGCCATCACCATAACTGAATGCCTCACAGAATCCTGAGATTTAACATTGACTTAAAACTGAACTATCCATATAAATACCGAGACTGCAAGAACAAGTCAGAGGCTAGAAATACTTCAGCAAGTAACTCATCTCCTGATTATTCCAAGCTCATAAGGCATAAATCCTAAGCCTGGTGAAATACTCACAACTGGCTTCGAAGGGTGCAGCTCCAACAACAGTTGAAGCTTGGTACCCTCCAGGACAAAGCAGTACACAGTACATCCACACGCATCGCTCCCTTCACCACTGACACTCAGTAACAGCAATGTGTACCATCTACGAGATGCACCGTAGGAATTCACCAAGGTTTAGCACCTTTCAAACCCACAAACATTTCATCTCACAAGGACAACTAGGGTTGGGCAATAAATGCTGGCCCTGCCAGCAAATATCACAATCACTGAAAAAAATGACCTCAGAACATCCTTTAATGTATAATTCTTTCAAAACACTTGTGAGACATACGGCAATAAATTAGGCACAGCAAAATCCCACAAACAGTGGTTTGTTTTATTTTCATAATGTTGTTTTTGGAAACAATATTAACTGGGCAGCATCACAAAGTGGACTTTTGGCAATAGGAGACATTTTAATCTTCCATGGATGTGGATGTCACTGGCAAAGCCAGCATTTGTTACCCATCCCTAACTGCCCTTGAACTGTGCAGCTTTCAAGGATGTTTCAGAGGGCAAATAATCATCAACTGTGTTGGCTTGAGTCTGGACTCATGTGTAGGCCAGATTTCACAAGGACAGCAGATTTTCTTGTCTAAAGGGCATCAGTGAAGCAGCTGGGTTTTTACAACCATCGATGTTTTTACAACCATCGATATTTTCATCATCACCACCACTGAAAATAGCTTTCAACTTCAGATTTATTAACTGAAATCAAGTACCTCCAGCTACTGTGGCAAGATTTGAATCCTTGTCCGCAGAGCATGAGACTGAGCCTTTGGATTATTGGTCCAAAGGGCAAGATTTTGGACATTTTCCTGAGAAAGGGGTAGAGCCCTGGAGATATTTAGGAAGAGTATTCCACAAATGGGCTCAGAATGGGTTGGGAGAGTCAGTACATTCTGATCCAAAACCAGGCCCTCTGTGTTTGAGTCGGGGGAGGGATCACTGCTGGGGGAAGGAGGGGAGGGGGTCACTGTGCTGGGGTTAAGGGAGAAGGCCAAGGGTTCGGAGTCACTGTGCTCTGATCTGGATGTACCTGGAGCACTAATTTCTGACCCTGGCCTTGCCCAGAACTAAAAGGCCTGCACCTGTTTAACTCTTCAAAATGCTATATTAACCATTAATACACTGAAGCGATCTTGAGGTCATGCCAAGTGTGAGATAAATGCAATTTCTGTCCCTTTGTAAAATTTTATCCATCAGGTTATTAACATTAGAGCATGAAGTCCTTTATTTATTAGTTTAAGATAAATCTATTTCTCAAGTCCATTTCATTACATTTGTATCAAGTTGGTGTAGGTGTTTCCCTTGACAAATAACAGTAAAAATCTTTCAACCCACAATTCTGTGATTCTCTGCAAGTCACTTTCAGTTTCTATTCTTGTTAACAAATGGCGACTAATTCACCTCAAGCGTGGTTAGAAGACGAATTAATTTGTTCTATCTGTCTACAAATTTACACTGATCCTGTGATTCTCAATTGTAAGCACAGCTTCTGTAAAGTCTGTATTGAGAAAACCTGGGATGAAGCAGTGTTTGATGCTTATCCCTGCCCTGAATGTAGGGCAGAGTACAAGAAACAGCCACTTCTGCAGAGGAATTTCAAACTTGCAAGTATTATTGAGAAATATAAAGTTCAAAATACTTCAACCCATTCGCTTTTGTGTAACTATTGCTCCAGCAAACCACGGCCAGCAGTGAAGACCTGCCTGAAGTGTGAAGCTTCCATGTGCCCAGAACACCTCAGACATCACACCGAGAGCTTTGTGTTCAAAAGCCATCTCCTTGTAGATCCCACTGCAGACCTGGCCCCGTGGAAATGTACAGAACACCAAGAGCTGCTGAAGATTTACTGTAAGGAGGATAAGGTGTGTGTCTGCACACTCTGCACTGTGTTTGGGAAACACAAGGGTCATAACTGTGGGAGCATCAGTGAGGGAGAGAAGGAGCTCAGGGTAAGAACAAAATGTTAGTATTGTCTCTACTAGACTCTCATTCTTCCTCAATCTATATGCATTGCCAATTGATGGGATGCATGTTGACTTTCTTTTTACTTATGAGTGGGAGCTGTACTGATCCTAAGTGAAGCTGAAATTACACAATACTGAAAATAAATAGATTTGCAGATAACATTTGATCCACAAGATCCCCTGGTCTAGATTTGACTTTGAGGGGAACAAAGGAGAATTGCTTTTGTGATTTTTATTCACTCGTGGGCTGTCCCCATCACTGGCTGGCCCAGCATTTATTGCCCTTCCTAAGCTGCCCTTGAGAAGGTGGTGGTGAGCTGCCTCTTGAACTGCTGCAGTCCATGTGCTGCAGGTAGACCCACAATACTGTTGGTGAGGATTTTGATCTAGTGACGAAGGAACAGCGATATATTTCCAGGTCAGGAAAGTGAGTGGCTTGGAGGGGATCTTGCAGGTATGTGGTGTTCCCACATACCTTGAATGTTGTTGGAGCTGCACCCATCCAGGCAAGTGGGGAGTTTTCCATCACACTCCTGACTTGTGCCTTGTAGATGGTGAATAGGCTTTGGGGAGTCAGGAAGTGAGTTACTCACCTCAGTATTCCTAGTCTCTGACCTGCTCTTGTATCCAGGCCTCCTTGCTCAGAGGTAGGGCCACTGCCATTGCACCTCAAGAGCCCTACCACAGTATTTTTATGGCTAGTCCAATTCAACTTCTGATCATTGACATTTCCCCAGGATTTGACAGTGGGGGTTTCAGTAATGGCAAAGCTATTGAATGTCAAGGGTGTAGAGATTCTGGTTTGCAATCAGTAATCTGCTGATTTTTAGGTGGTTTGAATCACCCCTAGATTGCTGGTTCTGACACTGGACTTCATTTAGGAATGTGAAGTGAAGAAGGCAGTAGACAGGTGTTTCAGGGCAAAGAATCTCTGTGTTTATTAAATGCAAAGGTGAGTATATCACAAGAAATAAAAAGGCAGAAGTAATAAACAGGGAAATAAAACAAAGGTGAATAAAAATACAAGAGTTAAAAAGGCAAATTCAAAACAGTGAAACTGACACAAAAACAAAGTTGCTGGAAAAGCTCAGCAGGTCTGGCAGCATCTGTGGAGGAGAAAACAGAGTTAACGTTTCAGGTCCGGTGACCCTTCCTCAGAATCATTTTTTTTAGACCAGTCCATTCATTCCAATTAAAATAAAACAAAGAACTTGGGTGCTGAAGATTGGGAACAGAAACAGAAATTACTGGAGAAACTCCACTGGTCTAGCAGCATCTGTGGAGAGAGAGTTAACATTTCAAATTCATTGACCTTTCTTCAGCTCATTTCCATTTATCCCTGTAGTCCTGCAAAGTCTGTCTAATTTCCATTTGAGATCATTGATCTTCCTTTAGCCTGGAGGTAGCATGTCTTTGTCAGCTCTCTCCTTTGATTTTAGGATGATGCCTGCCCAGGGTCATGAATCATGTGATTGAACAGGGCCGATTCAGGACCTGGACAATTTGGCCACATTGGAGTCGAATGGCCTGTGAGGTAGTGGGATCTAAAATATAGCCATTGCTTCCTTTTCTTTCCTGCTCGGCTGTTGCTCTGCCTCATCATTAAAATGTAGCGACTCAAAGTCACTTTGACGGACAGAGTCTTTCTGTTTTGGTAGCAAACTTCCATAGTAATTAATGTCAATGCTGCCGTGCTTGAGGACAGTTTCAGAATGACTCTGACCGTGCTTTTCCTGTCCTCCCCTGGAATGTTGGCCATTTAAAAGCTGAGAAGAGAAACAGGATCCTGCTGGGGAAACACTGTTCAGCTATTGGGACACAGTGACCAATCTATTGTGTTTTCCCTGAATGCTCAAGGAGGACACTAGCATTTGTTTAATTGTTCTCCTGTTGAATCCAGAGAATAGGGGCCTTGCTGGTAGAATTTCTTTAACACTGGCGTGTGGCACTGATCCAGGTCTCACTGCTGCACACAATGTGGTGACTTCAACCGTTGTACAGCCCGGGACTTCAGTCGACTCATTGAGATCTTTGTTGTCAAACCCTTGCTGCTGCAGTTTGTACGAGACTAAGTTGGCAGTGTCAGATCTCTTTACCAATGGTGTCTTTATGGTGCCAAGGTCTGGAAGTTGCTCAACACATTCCAGAGTATCTCCTTCAAGAGGGGAGTCAGATTATTCAATTAACCAGGTCTGAGTCGATGAGATTTTTTTTGGCAAAATTCAAGAACAGGCCGAGTTTTTTGTAAAGAGACTGAGAACGGGGGCTTGAATGTCTGAAGCAGGTGAGGTTAAAGAGTTTTCTATCTAATACTTGCATCAGAGGGCAGCTGGTCTTTGATGAGGCCACCATCTGGTAAACTGTAAATAATACAGGGCTATCATACACATTGCTCACCATCAATCCAGATTGTGCTGGTGTCTATGTTATGGACCAGACCAAACTCCCTCAAAATAAGTCAAGAAAATGGCCTAGACCCTAACTCTTTATTTTATTTAAAGGCAAGTGTAAGGTACTGTGTTCCAGATGTGATTCGATTGCTGTAGTACTAAACTTAAGCATGCAAATATTCAATACTACAGTCTATCTCAGTCCATTTCTTATGTCACTGAATGCCTCCATCTTCCTTCATCAAAGTCGTGACAATGTATCGGCAATTGTATTCTCTCATCCTGCCATGTATAATTTTCAAATTGAATGGCTATAACAATAAACTCCATAAAAAGTCTTTTTATGCCTAATCTTTTCCAAAAATGTTGAGGGATTATGATCAGTATATATAATTATCTCAGATACATTACTGGCAACATAAAAATGTTGATATATTGCAATACTAACACCAAATTCAAAGTTTCTTTCTCCTTGATGGAATATTTCTTTTGATGAATATTCAACTTTTAGGAGAAATATCCAATAGGTCTTTCTATCGTATTATCATCTTCTTGTAAGTGTACAGTACTGACACCCACATCACTTGCATCGATAGCCACCTTGAATATCTTTGTATGGTTAGGTTTTGCTAACACTGGGGCAGTGGTCAACACAGCTTTCAGGCTGTAAAATGTCTTCTGACACTCCTCCGTTCACTGAAAATTTGTACATTTTTTCAACAGGTCAGTCAGTGAAGCAATTGCGCTACTAAAATTCATATAAATTTTCAATAAAACCCATTCAGTCCCAGGCATTGTAATGCTTTCCTCTTTGTCGATGGTATGGGAGACTCCCCAATAACCTTTGGTTTCAAGTCCTGTGAGGCCATCTGTCCATGTCCAATGATATGGCCTAGGAATTTGACTTGGGATTTTGCAAACTCACTCTTAGCCAGGTTTATCACCAAGCCCACCTCCCAAAGTCAATCAAACAACTCCCACGAATGTTCCAAATGTTCCCTACATGCTTGACTAAAAATCACCAGATCATCTATGTACACCACATAATTGGGTAATTCCAAAATGCTTTTATTGGTTTGTCTTTGAAATGTGGCTAGTGCATTCTTCACACCAAACGACATGACTTTAAACTGGTAAAATCCATTCGGTGTCATGAAAGCCAAAATTTCCTTTGTTCTTTTGGATAAAGGTGCCTGCCAACATCTTCTGAGTAAGCCCATCTTAGAAATACAAGTTGCTTGTCCCACATTCTCATTACAGTCTTCCAGCCATATGGTAGGAATCAAACCTGATTTCGCTATAGTCCACACTTAATCTCGTTTTGGCACCATCACTCTGGGTGAGCTCCATTCGCCAGAACTCACTTGGATTATGTTGTCTTTGAGCATACTTTCAATTTCTTTTTGAACCTGTGCCAATTTTGGAGGGTTAAGTCTACAAGGATTTTGCTTAATTGGAACAGCATTTCCTATATCAATGTCATGCATAATCAGTTTAGTACTTCCTAACTTATTCCTATATATCTCTCCATATGATTGCAATGACTCGTTCAGGTCATTTTGATTTTCTTCTGGAAGATAACTCAATTTATCCCAATTTTTGAGAAGTCCTCATTTCTAATTTGATTAGAGGAATATCAAAGTCAGAATCATCTGGATTTTGTTCTTCACTCCAAGTTGTAACAAGTGACTCATTCTCTTTTTGCTTTCCTTTCCTATCAAAATACCTTTTGAGCATATTGACATGACACACAGTATTATTTCTGTCTGGCATTTTTATCAAATAATTCACCTCACTCAATTTCTTTTCGATTTGATAAGGCCAACTAAACACTGCTTTTAAAGGGTCACCTACCACTGGTAGTAATACTAACACTTTATCCCTACTAATGAAATCACAAATTTTTGATTCCTGTTTCATCACATAGAACATAGAACTTAGAACAGTACAGCACAGTACAGGCCCTTCGGCCCACGATGTTGTGCCGAACTTTTACCCTAACCTAAGGTCTATTTAACTTCCATCCCTACGCCTATCTAATAGACGCTTAAATACCCCTTACGAGGCTGACTCCACTACCCTCTCTGGCAATGCATTCCACGCCCCTACCACTCTCTAAGTAAAGAACCTACCTCTGATGTCTCCCCTATATCTACCTCCACTCACTTTAAAACTATGCCCCCTCGTAATAGCTACCTCCACCCTAGGAAAAAGTCTCTGGCTGTCCACTCTATCTATACCTCTGATCATTTTGTACACCTCTATCAAGTCACCTCTCATCCTTCATCATTCTAAAGAGAAAAGCCCTAGCTCTCTCAACTCTCACATGCTGTGCTACTTTTAAATGTAGCCTAGCCAACTCACCCACTCTATTTATTCTCTCGTTAACATTTGACACATAGTCCGATAATGTAGTCATGGAATTCTGACTTACCAATTTCTCCTTAATTAATTTAAGTGGTCCTCTCACCTCATGCCCAAAAACTAATTCAAATGTACTGAATTTTGTTGATTCACTAGGTGCATCCCAAATTGCAAAACATACAAATTGAATTCTTTTATCCCATTCCTCTGAATAGTCTTGACTATTAGCCC